CCCTCCAAAACAGAAAATTTCGCATATTGGGCCTCATTGGGCCGAAAATGTCATCTTTAGCCCATTAAGCTTGGAATTTATGTTTTTAACCCTCCAAATAGTATATTTTCAGAAAATACATTATGTAAACTGTTTTGACTCATCTCACCCATCAGATTTCGAAATAATTCATTTTAGGCCCTTCAACTTTGTATTTTCAACATTTTATGTCAAAAAAATGAGTTTTTAGCCCAAATTAAGTGTTGTCAAGCCATTTGGCTATTTTTCTTAGTATACTTTGCATGTAGTAGTATATTTTATGCTATAATAAAATACATATCTCGGTTTTTAGCATTTCATAACTAGATCTAGCATCAAAATCATACAAAACATACATATAAGCATAGAAATCAACCACAACATACACATAATGATGGATCTACACCTTTGCTTGTATTCTCCCCCACAAAAACTTATGAAAACTGAAAATAAGGGGGTATGAAACTCACCTTGGGTGTTGATTCGGTTTTTGAAGAAAGAATGGAAGAAATGAAGTGATTTTTGGCCTTTGCACTCCTTGATGAAGTTTTCGAGTTTATGGAGTTTTCTAGAGTGCAAGATCACGATTTTTGCATGGATTAGGAAGGGATTTTGATAAAACAAGGAATACAAGTCATAGATCCAAGCAAAACCTTACCTTAGATGATGATTTTTGTGGAAGAACTTCCTTGAATGCTCCCTAAATCTCGAGATTTTGGATGGAGAAGAAGAAAGAAGCCTTGAGTGATCTAGAGAGTGTTTGTGAGAGATGTGTGTGTGTGGGTGTTGCTCGGCCGAGAGTGAGAGAGAGAGGAAGAAGAAATGATGTTTGAGGTGAGGTTTGCATGGAGACATGAGTCTCTTGCATGGAAGTCCAAAAGATAAAAGTGATGTGGCATGAGAAAGTCAAACCCTTCTCTTGGGCTTGCTTTGGGCCGAGAACATGGAAGGAGGAAGGAAAAATTTGGGCTTTTTGCTCCTAAGCCCAATATTAGAGTTAGTCTTAGGTATTTATTGGCCTTATAAAATAAAATTGTGATTTTTATGTTTTAATAAGCTAGATTGGGTTAATCATGGATCAAAGCTTTCAATTTATTTCATTCTAGGCCCAATATGGCCCATAATATTGAAATAAATGAATGTGGGTCCAATTAGAGCCCAATTAGGGTTCTAAACCCATGATAGTCCAATTGGAAGCTTATTGGTCCATTTGGATCCAATAAGGAAGTTCTAGTCCAAAATGGACTTAACAAGAACTTCTAGGGTTTTCCAATTGCTTGATGTAGTGAATTGGGGTTTAGTTTTCCATTGAGTAAGCATCATACATGCTTTTGAGTTTTTGATTTCAACATTTACTTGAGTATAGTGATTACAAGACATAAAATTTCTAGTTGTGACAACACTATTGGTGCTTGGCTCTCAAACTCCAAACAATCAACCATGATCAAAAGGTATGTATTTCTACTAGTAGTTTTATGATTCATAATCCTTATGCTATGCTAGTTAGGAACAAACCTTGGAAGTTATTATTTGCATGTATTTTAGAAGAAAACATAGATCCAAGGTTTATTAGGGTTGCATGCACACTTAGGAAGTGTTAGATTGCTCAAAACCCAACAATAACAACCATATACATATAATCGTGCAGACAGAAACATAGGTAGTCCTACAGATCTACCAGACTAGCATATCAAAACTAGCATGCATATCTATCCCATACTCAACATATCAACAATATCAGGTTATCAAACTAATAGGCTGACCTTGGTGCCTTCAACCCGAAAGTATAGCGAGGAAAACTCACCTCTCGATCTGATCCATAGCTGATAAGGTCTTGACTCTGAATCTCAGCTCCAATCAATACGTATCCATTCAAGTGACCAATAACTATCAAAATCCCAAAATACCTAAAATACCCCTCAAGGTCAAATTTTGTCAAAGTAAAAAGTCAAAGTCAACAATTCATGTTGACTGCAATACGTTGTGTTTCCTTGCAAACACGTTGTGTTCTCCCCGCATCCAAACAGTCGGGAAAACCCTAGCCAACACGTCATGTTTCTAGAGTTCCAACATCTTAATTCATTAATTTGTTTCCTTCAATTCCTAGAGCTCTAAAACTCAGATCTGGACCAAAATGATATGAAGGAGGATAAAGTTTCCAACTTTATCCTCTGGGACTACTCCAAAGGGTCCAAAACATATCTATTAGTTTAGAAGGTGCAATGAATTAACCAATAAGCACTCAATCCTTAAAGTTGATGCCCAATATTTTCCAGAAGAGGTTTTAGCACCACACTAGATCACAAATGAGAAGGATAGATGATTAGGGTTTCCTTCAGGGCTTGAGGGATGATGGGGGCCGAGGGTGAACAAACCCTAGCCATCTTATTCATTTAAATTGGGAGCAAACACAGAAGATTAGGGTTTCATTTCCAGTGACCAACACATCGCGTTCTAGGAGGTAACACGCCATGTTGCTCTTAATGAGACCCACGTCTTTTCTTTTCTCGACACGATGTGTTGGTGCCTCCAACACACTGTGTCCAGTCCCCGAAAATGTGATTTATACGCAAAGTTTCTCCTCAAATTTTGAGTGTTACAAAGTTTGCTTTTAGGTCATTTTGGGTATTATGAGTAGTAGATTGAAGTTTGAGCCCATGTTATTCTATAGGTGACTAGTAGAAGCAGTATTCGGAGTAGTGATTTTTTCAGATATAAGGTCAGACTTTGAGGTGAGTTTTTCTCACTGTACTTGTAGGTCAAAGGCACCAATGCCGACCCACTAGATTATGTATCCTAGTATATTGTATGTTACTATGTTGTAGTGATCTGTTAGATCTGTATGATTATTTTTTTTGTTGGTTATATGTTTATTTGTTGCATATTTCGCCATATTGCGGTTGGGTTGAGGCAATACTGTTCTGTGCAGAAGTCAACAAAACTGAGAGCAAGCCACACATAAGTTATGGGCCATAAAGGCAAGTTAGACTTATGATGTGGGCTCGGGAGCAATCAAAACATGAGTTATGGGCCAGGAACGCAATCCAGACTCATGTTGTAGGCTCAAGGGTAATCCAACCTAATGGTTGTGAGCCCGGTATGCATGATGTTATATGTTCGTGTGGTTGTATTTTGGGGAACTTACTAAGCTTTGGTTTATAGTTTAAGTTTTACGTTTCAGGTACTTTAGATGATTGAAGAAAAGCAAACGCATGATCGTACACATCCTCCGGTGACATTTTTTTAGATGTTATGATATATTGATTTTGAATCATTTGTGTTTGATCTTGGGTTCTTATGATTTAGGATGATTAAAAAACAATGATTTCTCTTTAATTAAAAATGAAAAATTTTATTGCGATTTTTGGGATGTTACATTATCTTTAGAAAAATAACATTTGTTAAACAAATGATATCAAGATTGTTAAAATCACGATCCTGATTAAATGATTGTAAGATCAGATAAGTAAAAGGATCCATATGTAACCAATGTTTTAAACATTGGTTTGAACCGAGAACCAAGGAAGGTAGTGGTTCAACTAGCACATGTTTTATGCTTTTTCTGGACTGGAACAAATCGGCCGGATTTTACGAGAAAATAGTTAAACCCGTTCATTTGAATAAAACACTTAAAAATGAAGCATATTGCATAACAAACTTTGGGGGCCGTTTCACATCTATTTAAATTTTTCTTAAATTTAATAAAAACACATGATAAATGTTATGAAATTTTTTGATGTTTGTGTATTCATCAAAAACTATATTTTGTTTCGGTATTATATTTTTTTTTTTGGATGTATGTGAATTGATATAAAACTTATGATTATGTATTTTTTTTAATGTATTTATTGTTAACTGAATGGTGAACTGTTAGATTGACTTTTTTAATTCTAAAAATGCTTTGGATAAGATCTTACGTTCTTGACAACCTATATAAGATCTTACGATCACGGTTTACATAGTGGAAAAACAATCCTATATAGAAGAAAAAAAATATCATAAGAGTAATATTATAAGATAATATAGTCAATTATACATAAATATTATAAAAACCGTTATTTAGAAGAAAAAAAAAGACTTTGTCCATAATAGATATTATCTGTCAGACAAAAAAAAATATCATACAATTAATGTAAAATAGTACAGAATGATAGACAAAAAAAATATACTAGGATAATAAAATAATCCTAAAAAATTAAAAATATTTTTAAAAACAATCCTTACATTTTAACAGGGAAAACTTTAGTAAAATTCTTATATTTTGACATTATAATCGATTAATTCCTTATATTTTTGTTCTTGCAATTAAACCAAAAACACTGACAATTGTTTATTATTAATCCCTAAAAACTAGCAACATGAATTTTTTTTACCCCGATAATTTTTGGGTTTTTAGATAAACCGGTCACCAACCAAATATGAGTGTTTTTTTTTCATAAATGTGATAAAAGTTTAGGAGTTTGGACTACTAACTATTATCTAATATTTTGTATTGGATTAATTAAGTGTATATTTTGTATTGGACTAACTTAACTTTTGATTACATTTGTCAAAAAGTACTCACATTCGGGTAGTGAACATTTATCGTGGTAAAACCCAAAAATGAGCAGTTTACCAAGGTAAAAAACCTAAAATTGTAAACAATTACTGGTTTTTAGAATTTAGTTGTAAACAATTGCCAATGTTTTGGGCTTAATTGCAATAATATATATATATATATATATATATATATATATATATATATATATATATATATATATATATATATATGACTTAATCGATTATGATGCCAAAATATAATGATTTTTCTGAAGTTTTCCCTATTTTGATCATATCTACGAAAAAAACCTCATATTCTGTTAGTGACTGGTTTACTAGGTAAAAGAGTCAAAATGCAAACAATTGTTAGTTTTTAGGACTAAATTGAATGAAAAAAATTGAAGGACTAAATCAATAATAAAACTAAAATATAAAAACTTTTTGTAGATTTCACTAAGAATTATATCAAAGAAAAGAGGGATACTCATTTACACATGCATCAAGTACTTGTTTCCCACATACTCTATCAAGCAACAAGTAAATCTCCTTAGAACATTCATGATACTTATCAGAAGCCGAAAACTGATGTAACTTCCCCTCAATCTCAATCCAACTCGACCCCGGAATCTTTTTTTCCACCCTAAACTCTTTCATACTTGACCTAATTCTAGCCACCTCACTCCACCTATTTTCTTCCGCCAACATATTAACAAAAAGACTATAATACCCACTATTATCCGGTTCCAAAACCATCAACTTTTCAACAGCAACCCGCGCCAATTCCAAGTTCTTCTGAATCTTACACCCTCCCAAAACCGCACCCCAAATCACACCATTCGGTTCCATTCCCATCTCCTTTATCAATTTCATTGCATCTTCTAACATTCCAGCCTTGCATAGCAAATCAACCATACACCCGTAATGTTCAATTCCAGGAGGAATTAGAAAATCTTGACTCATGCTTTGAAAACATTTCCACCCCTCTTTGACTAATCCTCCATGAGTACAAGCACTAAGAACACTTATAAAAGTAATCCCATTTGGTTTTATATTCTCTTTTTTCATTTGACTAAACATTTTTAACGATTCTATCGCGTACCCATGTGATGCAAGCCCTTCGATTATTGAGTTCCAACAAAAAAGATTCTTTTCGGGTAATTTATAGAACACCAAGAGCGATTGATCTAAGTTGCCACATTTTGCATACATGTCAATCAAAGAAGACCCAATGTAAACATCAAGATTAAAACGGTTTTTTGCAATATAAAGATGGATTTTCTTTCCGATATCAAGTGTTCCAAGGTGAGCACAGGCTGAGATTACAGTTGCCATGGTGACTTCATCAGGGGTGATGCCATGTTTTGTCATGTTGATGAAAGTTGATAATGATTCTTGGTAGAGTTTGTTTTGGGAGTAGGAATTTATCATAGTGGTCCATGAGATTAAGTCTTTTGATGGCATGTTGTTGAATAAAAGCTCTGCAGAGTTGATGTCTTTTATTCTGGCGTATCCATCGATTAAAGAGTTCCAAGAAGCACAAGTTCTTTCAGGCATTTCATCGAACAGTTTATGAGCAGAAACCATGTCTCCTGATCTTGAATGTACTGAAATTATGGATGTCCAGGCGAAAGCGTCTCTTTCAACCATTTCATCGAATACCTGGCGGGATTCCAAGATCTTTGCAAAACATGAATAGAAATCGATCAATGCTGTCTGGACGTACACATGTGATTTCAACCCGAACTTCCATATCTGTCCATTAATGGCTTCTCCGATTCTGTATTGTTGGACTAAAGCACAGGATTTGATGACGGAAGGAAATGTATAGCTAGTGGGAGAAATTCGAGCTCTCAACATTTGTAGATAAATTTGAAGAGATTGAATTGGGACAAAACAAGACACACAAGCTCGGATAACAGCGTTATACACAAATACATTGGGATCCGCCATCTGGGTAAAGGCTTGGATTGCGTAATCTGTTTGAGAAAAGGTCGAACAGGCTGAGACGAACTGATTTATCATGAAACAATCTTGATGGTAGCTGTTCTTGACCATGAACGCGTAAATAGATTCTAGTTGTCTCAAGTTTGCGCAAATTTTCAAGTTTTCGATTATGATCTCATTGTTGATTGGTCCTCCTTGTCGTTCTGCAAGATGGGTGGTCGGTAATCGAATAAAGTCTGTTGCTGTGGTCGTAAAGTAGCAAGAAAGGAAGTTCAGAGAAGAGAAATGCTTACGGAGGCGATGAGAAAAATGGCGGCGAAAAGAAGTTGCAATGAAACCGCTTACACCGCAGCCGGAGTTCATCGGCAAAGAAAATAAAATCGGAAATGGGTTTTACAGATAATCAATTTAACAATCATGTAACCGGAGATAGAGGGCACCCATATGAAAATTCTATTTTAAGAAAACTAAAAAGCCAAGTGTTTTCTATTTCAAGACATTCGAAGATAAAATTTTGTAATATTCGTGACTTTGTATAGACGTGAATGTTGTCCATCGTCTCTCCTTATCGTGTTAACCTCAACCATCACGTTCATTCGCTCTGCATTTTAGGGTTCCAAAATCAATTCGTTTTTCTCCTACTCTCTCACAATGCATTCATGGAAAGATAAATTTACAGAAAAGATAGCCAATTTCTTTTACGAGCCTTCTTCTTCTTCATCTTCTTCTCCATCGTCTTCTGATCACGATCAGGTACCCCATCTACATCTCTCTCTCCTTCTTTCTCTGATATGTACATTGATTGCTTTCCAGTTTTTCTTCGAATTGGCTTGCTATCATCGTGAAATTCATCTACTTTTCGTGTTCTTAAGGAACCGTATTCACGTAAATTTGGTTTTTTACGATCTGGGCATAAAAATTAGAAAGTATATAATTCCATTTATACAATATGAATTCATAATTTGTGAAATTTTGACTAAATCTTGAAGCTTTGACCATGGCGTTCTTCCTTATTTGCAGACCAGTTTACCTCTTAAAGATGAAAGCTATTTGTCATCAATACTTTCTTTCTTGTTTCCATCGCAAGAGTCAATTTCGAAAGAAGAGAATGATTACGAAGCAGGCAGCCTAAAGATTATAAAATGCAAGAATTCAGATACAAAAGACGAGAATCCAGACCTAGGATCAGGGAAGAGCACCAGCAGTAATGAAGTGTTTGAAGATGCCATTGATCTAAAGACCCCCAAAAAGCATGTTCATGACCTAAATTTGGATTCGGTTTTTATTTCTTCCAATTTGAGCCAATTTTTTCTATCTTGCCTTCCCAATATAGTAAAAGGTTGCAAATGGGTTTTAATTTATAGGTAATAATATCTCCTTATGGTTATCATCTACAAATGTTTGACATTACATGACAAAATATGTTGTACCATAGAGTGGATGGAATGAGAGCAATGTCAATTGTGTAAAACATATAAATGTCCTTATTTTATCATTGAAAACAACCCTATAAAATTTCGTTGAGACAAATGCAGCCTTGCTCTAAATTGGGTTGTTGACGTATCTTTTCTTTGAAATGAAGGGCAGTACCTTGAAACATGGCATATCACTTCGAACACTTATCCGGAACACATTTGAAGTTTCCGGGCCTTGTTTGTTGGTAAGATTTGGTTACTTAAGAAAAAAATCGGTTTAATTTTTAGTATATGTGATATATTGTATTTTTTACGTAGATTACCGGAGACAATAAAGGTGCTGTGTTTGGGGGACTGATAAATTGCCCGTTAACACCTACTCCCCAAAGGAAATATCAAGTAAGTTTGTCCCAAACTTTCTTTGACTTAATGGGCGGGTTAAACACTTAAACCGAACAGTCATGCATAGTTGTTTTTTTTACTTAATTGGACAGAATGACCTAACAGGCTTAAGCCAAAATAAATAAACAAATAACTTAGTTTAATGTATTAAGACACTAACGTATTACGTATGTTCTCTTCTTTTTTCCTACCAACCCTCTTACTTAAAATTGGGGAATATTGTGATATTTTTATAATGTATGGACATTTAGTCTCATTTATACGGTTTATGTATGCAACACATTTAGACAAAAGTCACTACCCACTTTATACATACAACACTTAATGGATAAAAGAAACGAAACAAGACTTTGAACTATAATAAGTTAAGTTCTACACTATTGTAGCCACATGATGCTATATCATACATTTTCTAGTGTTAATTAATGGGTTTCAACACTCTGCACTTTTGAATTGTTATGGCAGGGAACAGTTCAGACCTTTGTTTTCACAACATTATATGGTGCACCAACTTTGTTTAGACCAACTGGTAAGCCATATTTGTTATACAGAAAATAACGTAAATACCCTCATCCTTATTGTCAATAATAGTCCTAGAAAGTTTGTTGCATCATGTCCAGTCTAATCATACCCCATGTTTGTGATTACATTTGGTAATCCTACCAAGGTTTACCGAATTTGAGTAATCTTTATATTACACTCATGAATTAATAATTTCTTTTTCTATTTCAAAAGGTGCAAACCGGTACTTTTACATATGTTCTAATGACATGCTAGCGTTTGGAGGGGGAGGAAGTTTTGCCTTACGCTTAGATGGAGATTTGTAAGATGCTTTATGTGTTACTACTTAATAACAAAAGAAATGATATTATTATTATTATTATTAATATTATTATTATTATTATTATTATATGTTATATCATCTTATTATCTCCTTGTGTACTTAGGTTAACTGGAACTAGTGGACCGTGTGATACATTTGGTAATCGATGTTTGGCTCATAATGAAGAGTTTGAGTTAAAGAATGTTGAGGTAAGTAACACTCTAAACGTGTGCTTAACATGATAATAGTTAGTTAGTATAAGTAGTGAATGGTTCAAGTTTGAAGAGTTAGTGTATGAGTTTCAATTCCAATATAGATCAAATACAGTGTGTGAAATGTTATTTATCATTTTTTCTTCACCTTGCAGTTGTGGGGCTTTACTCATTCCTCTCGATTTCGTTAACCTAGTCGAAGATTCACAGCTCCAATCAACTTTGTCATTGGTTCTTCAATGACATTGACACATGAACATGCTACTTGATATAGAATGATCCTTGTATACTTCAATGACTACTAGACAACTTAAAACTTTTTTTTTTATTTTATATTTTCTCATTCAAATGTATATAGAATGCATATATCACATTTCAATGACGTAATTTATTTAACTCAAACTTATGATTTGCATGAAATGTTAGTTAACAATTATATGCATATATCATGCAAAGTCTCATATACCCAAATATGAACAACCGCATGTTTTTTTTTCTGAGAACCTGTGCCAAAAAAATGAATTTAATATCATGGTATATTTTTACCTAATAATCAATAGTATATTACATTTACAGATAAAGATCAAGCTATTGATTTCCAGGTTTCCAGATGTGATCAGATCATTATGACATTGATTCATCATCGCAATGACAACACATTCAACCACTTGCTAAATGGATGTTCTTCCTTGATACATAATGTATAAAAAATATCATCTTAATGCTTATCCTATCCAATCATCAATCTTATCATTCGCCATGACAACTTGTAATGAACATATAAGTTTACAAGTCAACAACATTCTAACTTAACTCTTGACCAAATATACAATGAGTGTGCATAAGATCTCCCCTTAAGTTTGATTAGTTTGATTAAAGACTACAACATTTGTATCAACTACATCAGTAGCAATAATAACCTAACCAATGTGCTAATTTTATAATCTTAAAATCATGAAAAAAGCCTCTTTTCCCATTGACTGCAGCAGAGGAATTTGCTGTTATTTATGTTGATGTTGATGCTTGTCTTTCTAAACATGCTAACATTGTTCTGGCTACATCTAATTCTTTCTTTAATCATGAAATTAGTAGGCAAGCTGAATCATGCTGTTGAAAAAGACAAATATACCCTTCAACTTAATCTTACATCATTAACATAGAGAGGAGTTCCTGCCTTATTGTATGTAGTTGTTGCTCTGATGCAAATGAAGATAGCACTAAAGCATACCATTCCTAGTGTTATACAAACAAGAATAAGAAGGTTTGTGATAATATACTAACATATAAAATGTAGAATTCATATAAATTATAAGTACGATATGTTCATTTTGAAGAGCATGGTGTAATTGAATAACTATTAAGTAATGTAGACTTCTCTCTTTGTTTAAGGCTAGTGAATAACTGAGCAAAATGCAGACATGTTCACCTTATTCAAGAACATAAACCCTAGAAAGAAAAATAAATGCACCATTATGTGTCTCTCGATCAACAACTTCCCAAAAAATAATCCAGACGACTTAGAAACAACAGACACTTTCGGAACCTCGCCGGAGACTAGACGGGTGACATGTACAGTAAAAGGTAAAGTAGATCGGATAACAATTATGATGCTTGATTGTAGAAATGCAATATATATATATATATATATATATATATATATATATATATATATAGTTAAAATTCAAATGAGAACCAAAAAAGTTTAAGAAACCGTAGCAACTACTTATTTTGCAAGAAAACTTTCCAAACCTTCTCAAACTCTTCCAACAACACTTTCATCTTTTATTATATCAGATTTATACACCACATAAACTCTATCTTCTCTCTCATCTCAAACTTGAAGAACACATAAACATTGTCACCAGTTGCCACCAGCCACCACCCCCTGTTATTGCTGCCTCTTACCATCGGCGTACCGTCGTCACCTCCAACCACCGACGAACCACCACCATCAGATCCACAAGCTCCGAAGGGTCCCAGATCTATAATCTCAACTTCGGATCTACAATTTTTAGCTTCAGGTCTATAATTTTCAGCTTCATATCTACCACTTTAGTTTTCAGATCTATGATTTTCATCTTCAGATCTACAACTATCATCTTCAGATCTACGACTTTAGTATTCAGATATACGACATTCATCTTCAGATCTACCATTTTCGTCTACAGATCTACCGTTTTCTCCTCCAGATTTATGAGCTCCGACGAGCGGTGATAATCACCACCTTCGTCCATCACTGTCATTGCCAACGGAAACACGTATCTAATAAGATCTAATGAAAATACTTCCATATCCACCATCGATCGCTACCTGGTCTAAGATTTGGAGTCATGAAATTGTTTCAACTTCACTTTATTTCTTTCAAACGCAAAACATCTTAGTTCTGGTGCGATTTGGTCAAAGCTGATACCAAATTAAACACCGTCAACTTCGTTTCCACCATCTCTACCACCACTGATGTCACACCATAACCTCCTACTCTCGACATCATGTTCAGATCTAGTTAGATCTGGTGTGTATGGTTCGATTTTTCTAGATCATATGTTGTACTACTTCATGCATATATCTAAAGCTAAAATAGTGGTACTAATAGCTGATGGTAGTTCCACCACCTTAGATACGGTCCAACACCGTCACCTTCTCTATCTCTTTCTCTATGACCTCCAGTGAAACACATCAGTATGTCGATTTTTTATTTTTATTTTTTTCTTCTGTTAAGCTATGAATTTAATGTTTTAATATCTCATTTATTGTTTATTTTTGTTAATCATAGTTTTTTCTGTTGTAAAGTTGTGGATCCATGCTTTTGTTTCTTATTTGTTATAACATATGCATCAAATTGTTTTTTATAGTTTATGTTTGATGGTTGTTACACTGTGAATTAAAACTTAGAAGATGTGTTACTACATTAAAGTTTTCTCGAATAATGTGAATTTGTTTTTTTAAGTTGTGAATTATGATTTTTAATGTTTCAACTATTGTTCAGTTATGTTAAAGTTCATTTTAACCGTGAATGAGTGAATTGATATTTTGATTAAGTAGTGAATACTATGAAAGAAAGTCCTAAACTATTTTTTTGTATGTTTTTTTTCTGTTAAAGTGTGAATTTGATGCTTTAATCTTTCATTTGTCGTATAATTTTATTAATCTTAGTTTTAATTATTATTAAGTTGTGAATGTATAAGTTTTTTAAAATTACACTTTAAATTTATTATACTAGTTTGTGAATTTTCTATATTAAATTGTGTATGAATTGTGATAAGTGTTTTAAGTTGATAATATGGATGTGAATACTACTTTTTGTGTATTAAAATGTGAATTTAGTGTACTAATGTAACACCCCGTAAATTTATTCCATCGCTTTTAACCGGATTCCGTTAGTTAAGCCATGTCGTCCCAATTTTTTCCGTTAACTTTGATTTAATTTAATTTATTTTATTTTGACTTATATTAAATTAAATAAGTTTCGGGATATATTTTAAATTCATTAAAATATTTTCTATTTTCATTTAGAAAATATTTAGTTTCATTTAAATCGTAAATGCGGCAACTTTGTCGGGTGCGATCAAAAGCATCATATAGCGTCGGTATCGGGTAGAATTCATATGTGTCCTAAACTTTGAGCATATATAAAGTTGAGAGAGCCTCATTTGAATCTTTTCCACTCTCTCTACTCTCTCTCTCTCTCTAACTTTCTCTCTCTAGAACTCGAAATCAAGCCAAAACATCCAAATCAAGCTCCAAATCTCTAAGGTAACTACCCTAGCCTTTAGTTTAGCATTTTTGGCATTCAAATTCATGAAATATATCAGGATTTGGAACCTTGAACATGTGTTCACGGCCCTAGGACCTCCTTAGGCCGTAAACACATAAAATGTGGGGTTTTTGGCCTTAAAACCCTTTCAAACTCCATTTGGAGCCTAGATATGCCTAAAGGACTTGCATGCATGGAATTATAATACCTTAAACTCATGATTTAGGGCATGAACATGAGCTTACGGCCCAAGCACATGCTTGGACCGTAAACACCTATTCTTAGGGAGTAAACTTAATTTTTGGTGTTAGTTTGTCCCTAAACACCCCAACAAGCTTCCATGAGTGTATAGAACCCTAAAATCCTTCAAGAAATGCATCAAAACTTGTTTCAAGGGGGCAAGCTTGAGTTTACGGCCCAAGAACATTCTTGGACCGTGAACTCACCTCCTTAGACCTTAAACTCACTTTTGTGTGTTAAGATGCTACTTAAACACACCATGAGCCTTAGAAATGAGTCTAGAAACAACCTCAATCAAGTGAAGGACCTTAATGATGAGTTTTGGTCATAAGACATCCTATGTGCTCATACAAACCCTAATGCTTGGATCTAGGTTTCTCTATTGTACATGCTTTGAATCCAAGACTATAAACCCTAATTCTAGCATACAAGTAATCATATTAATATGTGATTAGGTTCAAGATCATACCTTGATTGTTATGTAGCAATAACAATCACAATTCCTCCTTGAATTGACTTTGGAAGGCTTAGAGTCACAAGTGTCACTCCTTTAATGGTTCACAAACACCATAAGCAAGAGGATGAAGAGGAGAGAGGTTGGAGGCTACCAAAACGTGTAGAAACCCTAGCAAGATCATTAGCCACGTTTTTTTAGCCTTAACGGGTCTTTATATAGTGGGGCTATTAGGGTTATCTAACAAGGAAACCCTAATTTGGATGCTTAAGCCCTAAGCAACCCATAGACTCCTTTTATCAAGCCCATGGACGATTTCCTTATGGGTTTCCCATTAGAATTCGTCCATCCCTTAATACAAGGCAATCCATGGCCCAAATCATAATTATCTTATAATTACAATTCCAGTCCCTTAAGTTTAATTAATCTCTTTTAGTCACAAAACTAATTACCAATTAATTATTGACTAATATTAATTAAACAATATGATTTCTCCTTTAATATATTATTCTCATAATACATTAATAAATCATATTTAATCCTTACTCTCCATAATTCATCCTATCAAGTTGCTTTGGTGAAGGCAACCCAAAAGGACCATGCACCATCGGGTCAAGTACATACCAAAATAGTTATGGACTTAGACACTAATCCAACAGTCTCCCACTTGGATAAGTCTAACAACTATTCTGCGTATGACTTCAGATCCTGATCTGCAATCGTAGCTTTCCAAAGCCGCTGTCAACTCTGATCATATCAGATACGCGTGTCCTTAGATAAGGGATCATATATTCCTCCATTCTAGATATCGTATGAGATATGATTTTTAATCATTCTCTTTGTACTACTTCTCGATTTCCGATTTATGACGACAGACTAATTGAACAAATCAAATTAGCCCTAGCCCGGCCGAGCATTTACGTATGTCATCACTAAACCATCGAGGGGCCCAAAGATATCGCTTTTATTCTTTGAATAAAAGGAACGGATAAACTTTGATACAATGCTTGCTTGCACTCACTCACCGAATTACACACAACAATATGTTTTATAACACCAAGTTACTAGTGCGTTTACATATTATCAATGTGCAACCGATTAGCAAGATACAACTCACACATCTCGGTTTCAAGAATATAAGATGTTATCGTCTCACTAATCACTCGAGATAGTGATCCAAGTGAGCGTGGGTTTAATCCAATGCTCAAATCATATTCATAAGCACTCATGAACGTTGCAGCAAACATTTGCTTATGTCTAATACTCTTTTAGACAATCCACACACCAATTCATGACAGTCTTCATTCATATCTACTTCCAACATATGAACAACTGTGTCCCGTTTGAATAATTCGATTATTCTTAATAAACTCAATTATTCTGGAAGTCAAAACATGCAAGGTGAAACACAAGAATAATACTAATCCCATATGGCCTCAAACCTTTGAGTATAAACAAAACACGTTTTATTTATCACCATATCGATTACTCATTATTTGTCGTTTCGGGTAATCAACTTCTTACTTGAATTATTACACTTGTCCCATGCTCCTAGCATGCACACAATGTTTACCTATGGTTCTTACTTTTGTGAAATAGACAAATTGAACACATTTCCAATCATTCTCATTTTACAACTCCAAATCCATTTTCTTAAGTGTAAGAATATCAAATTCTTGTTACTTATAGAATATACTAGATTCTAACACTTTATGCAACGATCCTTTTGTAATGTCACTGCACCAAAGTCTCAAAGACTATTGCCAATGATATTACAAAGTCCTCTAACGAGATTGTTACAAGACAATTCCTTAGATATGATGTCTCTCACTCAAAGTACATTCCTTTGAACATCCTTTTGCATAAAAGTTTCTAATCTAGTCATAGATTTTCAATATTTACTTCCCAATATGGATACATTTCCATTTTCCATATGACAACTCATTTCTTAATAGAATCTTATCTATTCGTAATGATGTCGATATTGTCCATCCAATATGGAAACATTTCCATAATTTCCAATACTATACTTCCAACTACTCACAAGCAACCAATCCTCGTCGAACTTTGGATTGTCCTTTGATAGTTGTTTAATTATTTTAGTCAAAACCGATTCTAGTCCCTTTTCCCTCTAAATGCAGACATTTGGAAAATTTTAGAATGGTCAAACATTAAAGCATTTGCAATCGATCCTATACCCGAAGCGTATGGGACACGACGCACAATGTTTTATTTTCTATGTTCTCAAAATTCGAATTGTGAAGAGGAATGCCGTAATCATAATCGAAATTTTAAGAACACACTATGTACCCTTGACTAAATTTATTAACATTCCACAACCTAATCCTTTAGATTTGAAATGAAGCATAATATTCTCTCCCTTAATTATAGCAAAACAACTATACAACTCTTACGACTTTGCAAGGTATAACTCTTGTTTTTCTATAATTAATATTGCCAATTATGCAATACGTGCCTTAATAATCATACAATCATAACATTTATGCTCCCACTATCATGATGATTATTATAAAACATAACACTTATGCTCCCACTAGCTTCGACATGTATTCATAAACATCTTAACTTTCAGAAAAACAATACTTATTGAATTTCTTAAGTTCATGTTTCTAATACTTAGTGCTTTGATAATCTTTTATCAAGGCTTCTTGAACTTATACACTTTTGCCTTAGATAGTTCATATGTGTGTCTTAACAATTAAGACTAATTGCCAAACCTCACAATTCAAATTATGGAAAGGGATGCCGTAACCATGATCGAATTCGAGAATGCAATTTTACAATCACTATCTTTTAAAATCTTTCTTAGTGAAAGCATTTTCTCACAATCA